TCAGCATTTCATTTAATATTACGAAATGATACAAGTCCATGATGAAAACGATAGAGAAATCCAATTTTAAGGAATAGTAAAAACGCACTTTTTATACTTTCAGAAATATTCATATTTATTTGAGCCAGTACTAACATCATAATTTTCTAAAAATATGAAATAAAGCCGAAACAATTGAACTTGGTATAATAGAGAAACCTAAAGGTACTTTGCCTAAAATAACTCCTAGAAAGAGCTTGTTGTCTACTTTCGGTGAAACCGGAAGTATGTCATCTATGAAAATAATTTTAGAATATGGAGACAGTGCAACTTCCATAATTTTTTTTATTCTCAATATTGCGGAAGTGCTGGGGGAATCCGTCTTAAGTGAGACATCCTGCATGAGTACAAGTAGAGTTTGTTTCAAAAAGAAGTGAATGAGCAATATATTTTTGCTACAAGCGTGCGAAATGTAACTTTTCCGCACGATTCTCCGTTTTCAGAGTTGTACTTTTTCGTACGATTTTACTTTCCCGCACGATTCTATCAGGGGTGATACCACGAGAGCTCAGATCTAGCCGGATATTTTTTGTGGATGTTTTTGAATACCTACTTTCATTGGCAATTTAACGAGAGCTGAATAAGTATGTATGAATATAAATAATTATGCGCATTGAATGAAATGCTCAGTACACTATATATTATGAATTGAATACTTGTCTCATTTCTTAATGAGACAATTTTCCCTTGTGATAATTTGATATTGTAAAATATTTATTGACCTATGTACATTTATTTATTTTTTATCCTTACTACAAGGTTAACTTCGTAAGGTTTTTCCCAGTTTATTCAAATTACCTATATGTTTATTCCAATGTATATTTTGTGAACGTTTTTGAATAAACTTATATTATTATTATTATTATTATATATTGTATCTTCCCCATTCAGTTTCTTCAGATGGAAGCCCCCAGGAATTGCTTCATTTTGTATTATTTCATTATTTGGATGCTAGCGTTGCTATGGCAACGTATCTATCCGATTATATTATCCACTTGCATTTTTGTTCCTTCATGTGAGTGGACTTGTCATACCACGATGTTCTGAATATTCGAGATAATTCTGAAAAGATATTCAACTTCACGTTCACGAAGCATCAAAAGTATTTATTATTAATAAGTGATTCATTCTGACAAGTACAGCCATAATTTTTTTATGCAAAACTAACAGTCTTTGCTTCGCTATCCATGGTTACATGTTTAAAACATCAACGCTGATGGACCAATCAGAATTGAATGACAGCTGATGTTCTCGCGATAAGCACACGTTGTCTCTGCCTTGTGATTGGTTTGATTATGTGATGAGTGAAATAGTCGATAAAATCCTGCGGAAAAGTTACTTTACCGCACTAGTTTTCAGCACTAGTTACTATTCCACATGATTTTTGTATTGTTGAACTTGAGGATATTTAGGACTAACTGAATGATCTATTCAGCTATTCTGTCTTATGTGTCATTTTGTAACATTATTATAAAATCTTGTTTATTAAAAACTTTTTTTTTCATTATTCAAGTTCGAAAAATAAATTTTAAAGGGTAAAAAATTATGCACATGTCCTTCAGAGGACAATATTGACAAGGCTATTTCATTTAGTAGCGGGGGTGCAAGATCAGGAACGCCATATTGTTGTAGTTTTGCCAGTTTATCATAGATGTATTCTATTAAAAAAAAGTACGTTTAATTATTTACTCGTACTAAACAAATTCTGTTCTACTTGGTTTAAATATTGTTGATGTCTATTAGTTTATTTGAAAAAAAAGCAAAGATAGCGAGAATTGAAACTCATTCACCCGGCAGTACCCGCCTGATTTGATTGATTGTTCAATAATATATAATTTCAGAATACTTGGAATATCCCGAAGGTGCAAAGCACTCTCACCATCCTTTCGTTGTCAACCTCGAAAGATGTCGAACAGCACTTTATCAAGACTCCTTCATCCATAGAACGGCTAGGCTCTGGAATTCATTGCCTGTGGAAGTGTTCCCAATAACATATAATCTCCAAAAGTTCAAAACAAATTCCAATACCTACCTCCTGTCCCTATCCTCCCTAGGAACGCACGATGTTCTTTGAACATCATAGGGATTCCCTCTCGTGCGCTCCAAGCGATAAAATATATATATATATATATATATATATATATATATATATATATATATGAAGCACACAGTGTACAAAGAAAGACTAGTGATATAGGTAACTTCTGAATAATTCAAATTCAAACTTGGTGGGTAGCAAGTATACCAAATTTCTCATTTATTGACAAGAAAATATTTGTTTCATCACTTCCGGTTCAACTGGGATCAATCTCAACTTTCAATATTTGAATAGACCACCCTGTATATTTTTTCATTTTTGGAATCAGGGAATTCTTCAATATTCACTAAGATATTTTTCTGATCAAAATATCAGAAAGATTGAGAGCAGCAATTCTGAAGCGAGAAGCAAAAAAGGTCGAATTTAGATGGAGTGCTGTCGAATGAAGCCGATGGAGATAATGAGAAGAGTACCATGAAAGAGAAGTAGAATCAACAAGGTGAGATATCAGGACAGTAATGGAGTTAAAGATGAGAGTACTGCTTTGAACACTCAAGAAAGAATCGAAAGGCTCACTAGAAGAATTACAAGAAATGGTAGCTAACTTTCTAAAGAACTGAATTCTTCCACTAAGACCATCCTTCATAACATTTTGCATGATATATCTGAGATGTCAGTGCTACAAGAGGTATTATCGTTCGAAACGCCACCATACCAGACTGTCAACTCTAGAGAAAGTCTCACATCAGTCAACATCATTGAAATAGCTAATCTACGAAAGCACCTTCGTGTCACACGCACCTTTTGTTTTCGAGAAGTCATTATAATGACTTTCACATTATAATGACTTTTTTCTCATTATAATGACTTTTTTCTCGTTATAATGACTTCTTTTCCAATAAAATGATTTTTGGATTTCATAACAGATAACAAGTTGAGAAGTAGGTACACGGCTATGGATTTATATATATATATAGTATTTGAAATGCATCCAGCAAATAGGGTTTCGTAATTACAAACAGAAACATGAGAATTGAATTATTGAAAGGTGTTAGTTTTAGGAGTAGGAGAAGACTCCGAAGAAGACAGTATTCTATACCGGTGCGATTGCTGGCAACTCCCGATATATAATTTAGTTACTTTGCTGGTTGTCACTTCAATCAGTGGTCGAGCACTGATTAAGTTGATGCCATGAATAAGTCGATTTGATGTGACATCTAAAGTTGATTGGCCTTTGTGCAACAGATTTTTCAATTAAATAGTCATTATCATAAGTTAATCAGATGATTAAGTAACCATGCCATCAAGTACATGATAGTCCTTTCATGCAACCGACTTCCATTTATAACGTCGCATCAAATATTTGAAGTGACATCAAATAATTGATGCTTTTATGCAACCGGCCCTGATTCCTACAAAAACCTTGTAATACACAGGGGTAACACTACCCAATACCTTTCTGTAGTTCCAGTAATGTTGCAATCAGCCTTGTCTTTTAACTTTGGGTTATTCTACAAATAAGAATGAAGCAATAATTATTTTTGTCCTGGAATACAGATCGCTATTGAAATCGATACAAAGACTTTAAAGGAGAATTCGAAATGCAGCCTACAACATAACCTACACCAAGACGTCATTATAATGAGAAAAAAGTCATTATAATGGGAAAAAAGTCATTATAATGTGGAAAAAGTCATTAAAATGAATTTTCAAAAAGAAAAGCGTGCTTTTGTACTAATCACTATAGTCCTCAGCAGTAAATTGTTCTAAATTTTTTTTTGTTCTAAAATTGTTCTATCCGTCATTCGGTTGCCCCTTTACGAGCAACCCTCAGAAGTCTTCGAAAGTCTTGTGCGAGCAAGGAATGACCGGGGCCTTACCTTTTAACGTGTGATCCCAAACACTTTCTTAGGCCATCAGAAAAAGTCTGCGTTCGTGGGGCTCGAACCCACGATCGATACCTCGACGTGAATCGATATTGAAGCATCGAAGCACTGAGGTACGCCGGTATGCCTCCACAGTAAATTTTTCAGGGAGGAAAGAAAATAAAACATAAAACAATAAAAGTAGGATAGGTTCAGCAGGGATTTCTCCATCTAAACGCACGCACGTAGCTCACTTGGCTATCGTAGTTGCAAAAAAATGTACAAAACAAATTCATATACGGTCACCGAGCGGTCAACGTTATGCGCAAGCGGAAATCTCAAAGCAAAGTGAAATCCGTGTCGCTAGCCGCTTTAAAAAATCTTCCGAGGAAACTTCGAACGAAGGTTCTCCCGCCATCGAATCCATGTCGAAAAAAATGTTCCATCAAACCGTTCTACGAGAAAAATGAGAAATACGTTATCTTGGTCGGTTCATCAATTTTCTTATATTTATATTGTTTATTGTTTCCATATTTTTAATTTTTAATACATGTTTTTCAAAATAAACAGGTTGTCCTATTTGAAAATCAAAAGTTGGAGTTGCTTCTGGTTTAACCGGAAGTGATAAATCAAATATTTTCTTGTCAATGAATGAGCAATTTGGTATACTTGCTACCAACCAAATTTCAAAATATGATCTCGAACCATTCAAAAGTTACAGGACTGGCCGTTTTCTGGCATTTTTCGTATATTGAAATAATATTCATCCTTTCATTTTTTGTAGAAACAAGAATGTCCCAGAAAATCAAAGACTTTGAGTTCTGTGGGATAATCTAGAGAAATTACCAAATGCATTGTGATTCACAAAATTAAACTAATTGTAGCAGACTCAAAAAAAGGAATTAAAAAAAAGGATATTAAAAAACAAATCAAAATAGTTGGGTTCCATCGCCTGTGTAGGTTTCAATTCCCGCCTTAAAATGACCACAATTACTTGTGAAATTGAAAATTGAGTTTCAAAGAATATTTCCCTACCCCCATAAGAATATTCAACAGTTGAATAAAATATATATAAACCTGCAATTACCTATATACAGCACATCAAAAATTGATGAACGTTTCTTCCTTTATACAGAATATACACAACCAAACATTAGAGCATTACATGTTCCTCCTGTCATTTCTTCCGAGAAACAGTAGTCCGTGCTTTGGGAGCAATGAAATCCAATTCGGGAACAACCATATTCGGTACAGTACTTCTTTTATTGCCCGGAAAGTTACTAACGCGTTTACCCACATCACTAGCACTCTGCACGAAATGTCCCGGATTCATAATAATGTTCGGAGTCTGATTGCCCCAAGCGTTCTGGACCGGCTTAGGGGGCAAAGGACTGGACACAAACTCGCCCCATTCGTCCTCCTCTTGAGAAATATCATTGACCATGATATCCCTGATTTGGGAAGGCCCTGTCGATTTGGCATAGTTGTAAGTCGACGGAACGAAATTGTACGCTTGAGAGGCGAACTGATTGCTGATTATCGAAGGCTGCTGACCCAGGTATGCCGATCTAGTGTCGTTATTGTGTTTCAATTGCGCTTTTGGCGATGCACTCGAAGCATTCGAAGACAGTTTCGTTTGCACCAATCCCTGAGGGGTGATAATGGGTACGGGTGGCTTATTGGGTTGGATGCTGCCTAAATTGAAGACGGAGAGGGGCAAGTCCGGGCTTGACGTCCTCTCCCTTTCACTGTACGATTTCACTTTGTGTACAGGGGACGGTTTCTGCACCGACACGAATTCTGACCACTCTTCTTCGTCGTCTATCTTTTTTTTAGGGGATTCTGTTTTCGACACACTGTTTGCCTCCTGCTTGAAGTTCAATGGACTGGAGAAAACGTTTTCGAATTTTCTCAGTTCCTCATCAGTTAGGCCGGGGTCTGGCCAGTTTATTTGGGTACTCTGTGGTTTGGGGTGAACGGGAGTTGGTTCCAAGGGGGTAACAGATGGAATCAAGATTGTACTGGCAGCATGATCAACTTTTGGCATAGAGAAATGGAAATCAGTAAATTCGTCATCATCTTGAGAAGAGTTTGTGATTCCAAGATTTCCTTTAGGATATTTCAATAGACCTGATGCTGTACTAGTGAAACTTTCTGTGGATGGAACAAATGATGTTGGAATCATTGGTTTTGATAATTGTATACCATTATTAGATCTGCTACCTTGTGAACCTTTTTCCTGCACAATATCATCAGAAACAAGTGTATCCTGACCTATAGATTCGTCATTAACCTTTTCTGGTAAAACCATCTGGAAATCATCAAACTCGTCATCACTTTCTTGAACAGTAGCATTCTCTGTCATTATTTCAGGTGTTACAATTGTTGATACACTTTCGTCAGTACTCAACTTCCTCCTTGATAATTCAGGAGTTACAATTGTCGGTTGTAGCCATGCTTCGATATTAGATTGGCCACTAAGTTCTGATGATATATTTGATATGTGTGTTTCTCGTAAAGGTAAAATATTCCGCCATTCCGTAGAAGGTGCAGGGGGTTGATATGATTCAAACTCTCGGAAATCATTGTTATCTGGAAATTCGATACTATTACTGCTACTTTTACTGCCCAGCGCGATTTGAGAAACAGGATCCAAAGAAGTTTCAGGCAATTGCTGAGTTAAGATATCTGGAAGTTGTGCGGGAGTACCCTTTGCGTCAACTGAAACAAACGTTCAGTTAGATAGATAGATAGATATGTAGGTAAACCTAAAATAAATTAATCACACTTTTTTCAAAACTAACTCTGGATTGTTGTAGCTTTGCAGTATAGTATTATATTGAGAGTTATTGACAAAATAATGTTGTAAATAATGGTTTAAAGATAGTATCAGTTGATGATGGGACAACTGAAGCTATTGAAACATTAGAACGAACTCTGGGGGAGATATGAATATCATAATGGTCTACAAATAGGAAATATCCAAATATCTGATATTCTTGAAGCCATTCAATCATTGTAACCTAAATCTGCAAAGGGGTGTAGATGGAATACCAACCTACTTCTTCAAAGCATATGATTGCCTACTGACATCACCTCTACTCTAAATTATTTTTAATGAATCATTGAAATCTAATACATTTCCTGATAGTTTCAAAGTTGGGCATATAATTTCGATTCACAAATTTGGCAAAACAAACCAAATCACAAACTACATACCAATCACTATTTTGCCCTCACCCTCAAAAATATTTGAAAAATTATGCATATTGAATTTATAATCATATATCCACTGTATTATTAGAGGAGCAACACGGGTTCATAAACAAAAAATCTACTGCAACAAATCTTTGTGTCTTTAGTGAGTACATTTCCAAAGAAATAACCTTTACCATTTTCAATGGCCTAGCAAAGGCCTTTGATAGGGTAAATCACAATGTTCTACTAAATACATAGTTGACATCACTCATTTGATGAAAATTTGGTTAAATTCATTAAATCATATTTGACAAATCTTCTAAACCATGTCAAATTCAACAGCTCACAGTCAGATAGCTTCATCTGTACCTCAGGTATTCCCAAGGCAAAATCTCTTCTATATTCAGATGACTTGAACGTTTTTATGAAAATTACTACAGTAGAGGATACAAAAACATTTCAATGTATTATTAATGAGATATTAATGAGAAGTATTGCGATGATAATGACCTTTCACTAAATGAATCAAATGTAGTCCAATATACTTGAAGAAAAAATGATTCCTTGTAAAATATACCATCGACGATGTTGAACTGGAAATATCAGATGAAATCAAAGATCTGAGTTTTTACAAAGAATTTTTCATTCAATGAACATGTTAAGCGCCTTAGTAGGGAGTGCTATAGAAGACTATGTTTTATAATGAGATCCAGCCAGGATCTACAGTAAACGGCGTGAGCAAATTCAGATCTTGTTTATTTTTGATATCTTACATAATTTCATTAATGTACCTGATATATTGATAAATATTCACATCAATTTACCTGATATAAGACTGAGATCCAAAAATACTGTTTTCAAAATTTGTACTGTGAGTTCTCCTATCAACAGCAGCTCAACTCACTTCACTCTCACCTGTGATATATCCAAGTTAACTATTTTAATTTTTTATTGTCGATGTTATTTTAATATGTACTACTGGTAATACCTAGATCCCTAACTGATACATTTTTTAGACATAGTCTATTTGTAATCAGTATGAATAATAAAAAAAAAATAATAGAATATGAGAGATGAAACAATATTTGCTTTTATTGCGCAAATCTAACGAGAATGGTTTTACCGATGATTTATTTTATATGTCAATATTCAATTTATTAGTGGATATCAACTAACAAGTGATATATATACTATTTGGCTCTAAATATCCATCCATAATATCCACAAAGCTATAATCTATTCAACAGATAAAACTGTGAAAACCACAGATTCTGCTGATTGGTTTTCATATAATATAATAATGGTTGGAATACCTGAAATCTACAGAGAATGAGAATATATGAGGTTAATAAGTTCAAATGAATTAATGTTTTTTCTGAAGAGGATAAAATAACCCAAACTATGTCTACTATATAATATCATATTTGAATAGAATCAAATATTTGACTAATTTTGGCACAAATAAATTGTAATTACCTAAATGTATAAATGTATATATGTATATAATGAACAACATTACAAGAGTACCTATAAGCATATAGTTGATATTTCAAATTATGATTAGGTCGAATCCAAAGTAAATATTCCAAATATAATTATCAACATTTTGATCTTGGACCCAACACTACACTGTGCCTTTCTCTTCACTTCCAAATAAAATAATTCTCAATGACCCTGATGAATTGACACCAATGACCTATAATCAACAAATGGATGGACAATACTTGAAGATGCGTGAAGAACATTACGTCCCGATATTCCCGAACAGTCCTACCCAGTATATTTTATCGTTCCGATTTTACTGAAATTTACTGGCAACGTTTTTGCGGATCATTGCAAGGAACCCTGTTCAGAGGCTAAAAGTTTACTGTTGGCCACTGGTGCAGAAATTGTGATGTAGTGCCAGTATTCATGAATGGTTAGATCTGACTCGGTAAAAGTTATATATTATCATTTTCAAATACTTTGGGAAAATGTATGAATTCGAACTGGAAGATCTTACAGAGGCAGTAGACGCTGAAACTGTCAATAATCTACAGGATGGTTTGTTATGTGATGTTTATTTCTACTTTTCATATCAAATATTTCACAGCTAGAGGTACTAGAGCTTGGTATTTCTGATGAATCAGAATCACTATCGGATAATATATCTTCTAAGATAATATTAGTAATCACTCCATCCATAATTTCAAGGTGAGTAAAGAACATAATAATAAGAATGATGAAAATGAAAACCAACACAACGAAAACACCGAAAATCGAAAGCTCATAGGTTATGGTTATGTTTTGCTGAAATGAAATAAAAATTCGAAGCTACTACTACTGTTTAGTGTTCCTGAATTGATTACTGTGGCCAGCTTGAGCTGTTCGGTTCATCTTTACTATCCTTTAGAAAAGCAGTTAAAAAATTGTAATAGTTTTAATTTTTAGTTTTAATATAATCTTAGTCATCTGTAAAATATATATATTGTACAATCTTTTGTAATGGTATAATTGGCTTGTCCGTTGATAAATAAATAAATAAATAATGTCAGCAACATGACCAACGACCAACAAGCGAGCATTACAATATGTTGAGGCACCTGAGCAGTATGTAACAACTTCAACGTCAGCATTGCATGTTTTTGATTTCTCTCTTCAAGGGCGTACCCGGAGGGGTAGGGGTCTGGACCTCCCCCCGAAATTATGACATAAATCCGACTTTTTCCCTTTACTTCGAAAAATAAGTTGAATTAGAAGTTCTTTTTTTTTTTCGTGGACGGTCTGTCCCTCTTGGAGTCTTGCTAAAAAAGCCGATGTCACTGTGCCCAACATAAGCTTGTCAGAAGTAACCAGACATCCATTTCGATGCTTGGTATCACTATCAGCCATAACCTTTCTTGGGAAAATCACGTGAGATCAATTGCTAAGAGTGCATCCCAAAAACTTGGTTTTCTGTTTCGGGCAAGGAGCTATTTCACTTCCAGTCAACTGCTTATGATCTATAAGGCACACATCCGACCTGTCCTGGAATACTGTTCCCATATTTGGAGTGCAGCACCCAAACATACCCTGAAACTGTTGGATTCTGTTAAAAAAAGTTCGTCTCGTGGGTGATGCCTCGCTCACAAACTCACTCACTTCTCTGGAACACCGTAGAAATGTTGGCGATTTGGCTCTATTTTATAGATATTTTCATGGACGATACTGTTATAAAATATCAACAATTGTTCCTCCCTTGGCAGCCCCGCGAGATTAACCCGTCGAAATGAGGCTTCGCACCTCTTCGTGGTCACTTTGGAGACCTGCAGAACATCTCGAATTGTCAAGGGAGGTGTTCCCTGAGGCATATAACCTCCAGAAATTTGAGAAGAACACCTATTCCTACCTCATTTCCCTTGGTTCTCACGATGTTCTCTGAACATTACAGGATATCCCTTTTCGTGGAAACCAGAACATGAAAATGACATATGTCTAAACTCGCTGTAGGTTTTATCAGAGCTGGCTCCTCTGTAATTTCTTTATCGATCGTCCGTCAGCCATGTTTAGTTGTTTGTGTCACAGTTTAATCCTCTAAGAACCAGTTATGTCTTTCCACTGGAACTTTGTATCCATATCGAATCGACTTGTGGCACCCGAGGTGGCACATTTATTTTGGTTGCGTCGAAGGCAAAACGTCAATGTCATTTTTGGTCGAGTCACTGAATAGCAAAAACTCTGAAGGTATCTCCCATGCAGTAATGAATTTGTGCCTTCATTATCTAAATAATCAGAGACCTACGAGTCCCAAAGAACGTAATCTAGTAATCAATATCCAAGGTACCGACTTACAGAGTTTCATGTGGAATTGTTGGATATTTTGTGTCCAAGTGGTAGGTAGGTAGGCACATACGCACTGCGCATACTCGTCACCTAACATTTCCGAGCCGATCACGTGATATGTGCGAGTTCAATTAAGCGTAACATTGTTCTTCCATTTGTCATTTTAAAGGTCAGTAATTGACTCTCATAAAGCCCTTAAACCCCTACCGGAACGTTCCTGAAAAAATTGGTGAGCAGTCCACAATACTACTGGTAATTTCTTCTTTGTTATTTATAGTGACAGACGCAAGTGACAGCTGCCAATAGCAATATGGGTTCACGTTTGCTATGATGAGAATACCTATATTCTTCATCAATCAATATAATACATGTATTGTAGGTAGTTCCGAGCCTGTATGTGAACGAGCAAATTTCCAACATTCAACTTTTCATTCCTCTGTACAGTTTATGTAAATTCATTGATCACATACTCGTTATTTTTGACGTGCGATCAAATTTTAGTTCAAGATAGTGTAGATATAGTGAAGATATAGTTTCGGTTCCCCACCATTTTCATGACATACTACTTAGAAAAATGCGAACCGTCTTACGCTAGGACATCGTTACAAGATTTATTGAAAAATCTAATGATTCAGGAAATTTCGTTCATTACATTATCAATGGTACTTGAATTGGCGTATTCAACAAATAGTGAGGGTGGAAATGGGATTATTTCTTGAAATTATATGCTGAATACTTGATGAAGAGGGAATTATAGACGGAACATAAATATTAGATATTGATGATTATAAAATTTTAGGTATATACAAGATGCTGACAGATCGCTTTTCCAATTTGAATTTCTGTTGAAAGGTTGAAGAGATATTTTAATTTCTCCAAGACATTGATAACTCAAGTCTGGCAACAGTGGTTGTAAACATGTTCGCCATTCGCGATAGAAAATAAGCGTACGCCACCGATCGGAGTTATTTAAGGCTGTCAAAACGGCCGTTTACTTTGTTCTCATTGGTTCACATTTCTTATTTTCGAGTAGGTAGGCGTACAGGAAATAAGTCAAGAAACTTATCATAGACAAATATCACCAAGATCACTAGACGTAGGTAGTGCATCATAGTCTGCTTCACTAATAATCCTAAATTGCTGTATTTTGAAAATTAAAACATTTTAGACATCAGAATCCTAATCTACTTTCTCAGATTATCGATGGATACTATTTTGTAATCCGATTCCATAAGTGAGAAAACAGTAAAAAAAATACATGGCAATTGTTTACTTACATTCAAGAGGATTCACGAGACCTGAGCTTGTCCAGTCAAACTGAACGTTAGGAATGTCTGGAGAATGTGTTTGGGAAATGGACGGACTAAATTTGACACTTGTTGAAGGAACATTATCAGCTTTGACAGGTTCCAGTGGTTGTAACCCCACATGTGCTGCAAATCTTGGTATTGTGGGATTCCATGTAGGTCCAAACATCTGAAATTCACAAATGGATACGATTGAGGTTAATGTTTGTTTCTATGGACTCTAGATTTTTAATTGATTGTAGATATTACATGCATCTTTGAGTTGCAAAAGACAACACCAGAGCATGAACACTGGTACAACTTCTTCAAAAATGAAAAATGAATGAAAAGTGAGGCCCCACCAAGAACCGAAGTCTTGTTATTTTTTCCCAGAAATAGGGTGGTCCTTCAAAACAATATGATTTGAGCTAACTTGCATAGATAAGATATTGCTACTAACAGCGAAGTTGAATTTAGAAAATAGGAGTTTTTTGGTCTGAGCTCATAATTTGGCATCAACTTATTCAATCTATCGTCTAGATGGACAAACACTCTGTTTGGACATTTTTGTATATTTAGAGTACGGACACTCGACAAGCAAGACATAACCACAAATGATTTTGATACGTTTTGCTAAACAAGGACATGAATATGATTTTCGCTTAGGGAAAGGCTTCTCATATCTACATGTTCAGGAAAAGTACATCCGTATAAAAAGAGGAATTGAAATAACCTTATCAAACCTGGTATCGTTGGATTCATTATGATGATCCCTAACCGATTATGGAATGAAATACCGGGTGTCCCATTCAATAATTGACCGATGTGGTCATTTCTCGTCAAACCGGATGCACGGCGAAGCAAATGTCAAATATTGTCAATTGAATTATCATTTACAGCCCTAATTTTTCGTATACAAAAACGTGCAAACCAGTGTTAAGTACAGGAACTCTACTTGGAAGTAGGTATTCACCAATCAACCATTCTAGAACACGTGATTTTGACAAGATTTCTTGGAATGCACACATACTATCTGCTAGGTTACCTTTGTTAAGCATAGCCCTGCCAACATTCACAATATAATAACACATTCACCAAACAAAATCATGAAATTCTTCTGGTTCCAACTCGGGTTCCAAGTGAAACGATCCCACTACTTCTGATTTTATATAACAAGATACAATGTTTGCCCTTCAACGAACTATCAAATCACGTAATTCTGGAATGATTAATACCAAGTTTTGGTAATGTATATGAAATACTCACCATGTTTCTGACATCAATGTTGAGGGACCTCAAGAGACATTTTTGAGTGGTAGATTTCGACCAGTGATAAGACAATGCAGGCGTGTCAGTAACATCCTTCAGCTGTTTAAAGATGGCATCATCTTCTGTATTGATGAACTCACAATCTTTGAGCACCTCTTCAAAGGGAGGATACATTTGCTGTATGATCTGTTTGGATTTTTCAAAGGCCTCTTTTTCATGCAGTGAAAGGAATATAGGTTCAGAAACTGTCATTCTTTCCATTTCTGTGGCTTTTTTACTAGTACTAGGTTGATATGAATACTGTTGTGGTTCAAACGTTGCCGAACTGAATACACTAGAATCACCATCATCATCAGGTTGATTCTCGATTGTTTTTGGAATGTTTGGAACTTCAAAAGAAGCGAAATCAGCAAATTCATCATCACTATCTTCTTTATCGGAAACATGATTTGAATTGAATGCAACAAAATTAGCGAATGCATCATTCTTTCTATTTTGTTCTTGATAATCGTCAACTGAGGGATCCAAAGTTTGAGTAGGATTCACATCAGCATTTTTATTTGGTATTTCCGATTCGGCAATGTCTTGCTGCTCTAAACTAAATGCCGTAAAGTCACCAAAATCTTCAAAATCATCAGATGCTTCTTGCTCAGTAGATTCAGAAACATCAAAAGTTATCTCAACAATTTCTGGATCAGATTTTGGTGATATAATTTCATTTGGACGGTTTAGCTTATCTTGGCTAATACTAGAACTATCATCAAAACTTGATTCATGTGTATAAATATCAACATGTGAGACATTATCTTCATTTTCATCTTCAAGATCATTTACTTCTGCTGTAGGTGTAGATTCACATTCAATCAAATTATTTTGTTGTAATTCTTCTAGTATTGAATATTTTACACCATTCATATGCAAATATGGGTCCACACTTTTGGCACTTTCTTTATTAGTTTTCAATATTTCTTCAGCAACAAAACAATTAGTATCCTCTTCATTTACAATTTCTCTGCTTTTGTTTCTGACCGTTTCAGTATTTTCTATGGAGCCTTCGCCATTTGTTTTGTTGCTACCATTGAAATGATTAAAATCAGTTGTACAATTGCTTTCAATGTTGTTCTCGAAAACAAAGTTTGTATCACCTTCATATATTGTGATCGATTTTTCTGTACTATCTACTATCGAAGTGTAATCGTCTTTAATAAAACTATCGATGGATTTCTGGTCTTTCATTTCTTCGACAGAATTATTCAAACCACTTTCATCATCTGAAGAATCTTTCAGAACGGTACATTTTCGTTCTTCAATGTCTGCATTATTGACATCAATGTCTGCATTATTGAAACCTAATTTCTCAATATGACCAGAAATTATCCTAAGGATATCATTTTCATTACGAACATTCGTATTTTCGTACTTATTTAAGTGGTATTCGACGTCACTTTGTAACCTAGTGTGTTTGTTAATATTAATATCTTCACTAACAACTTTGATTCCATCATTTTCAGTATCTTCAGTGACATTTGTAACAGCTTGAACTTTATCTATCTTCGGAGACTGTGATGGCGATGGTGAAGAAATAAACCCTGTAAATTTAACGGCACTTTTACTAGGAATATCTGTTTATGTTTAGCATTATTTAAGAAACCATTTTTTTCCTTCGGAACTATACGGAATACGAAATTTTCACAAAAGTAACAAAATTAAGATAATTAATCAGTCATCTTGCTGAACATTTTTGAGAACCCTATTACTACCACCCCTGAAAAATATGTCAGGGGATGATGGTGGTTTCAACCATTCTACAAATTCTTTCACGTTTCTTTGATTACTGAAAGAAGGGTTATCCTCTGAAATGCACTTTTGTCAAATTTCATTCAATTTGTTTCACTAAATTTTGAACAGCACACAAAAATATGTTTTTTTCTGTATACTTTGAACTCGTCTCACGGACAAACGATACATTGTTATACAGGGTTACTTGTAATTCGATTCATTCCTTTGGAGGTGTGATAGGGGAGATGGTAAGGGGTGGATTTAACCCCAATATGCCTTATGCAAAAGTGAACAGGTTTTGAGAAATTAAAATTTTTGTGTTTTTTTCCAAAAAGTTGACTTAAGGGTTTGAAAGTTAGTTTCCCGAGAATCTGCTGTACAGGGTGGCCAACTAAGAATCCAAAGTTCGATACCTCTGTTGTCTTGAGAGATACAAAAAAAAGTCATGTATCAAAATTGAAGTAATAACCAAGCTTCACATTTCAAAATTTCTTTGAAATACACAGGGTGTTCTGTAAGGTCACAGCACATCAAAGCTATGTTTTTTTCAGTGGAACACCCTATATTTTATTTCATTTTTGAATTCTCCGCTAAGATCTGATTTCAACGACCCATCATACTTAGGGTCTAGCAGTGAAAGTTACTGACATATTGGGTGTGCAAAATCGAGATTTTCCAAGTTCAGGATTTTTTTCTGTCGAAACTGTTCATTATTCGTCAAATCGGTTTACATGTCCCTATCTCAACTTTTCACTCACTATCAATTGGTGTTCAATTGACATTTAATTGGAACAAATTATAAATTTAGATTTCTTGACCACCTTGTATCAATTTCAATTGAACACCAATTCATAGTGAGTGAAAAGTTGAGATAGGGACATGTAAACCGTTTTGACGAATAATGAACAGTTTCGACAGAAAAAACTCCTGAACTTGGAAAATCTCGATTTTGCACACCTTATATGTCAGTAACTTTCACTGCTAGACCCTAAGTATGATGGGTCGTTGAAATCAGATGTTCAGGGAGAATTCAAAAATGAAATAAAATATATGGTGTTCCAATGAAAAAACACAGCTTTGATGTGCTGTGACCTTACGGAACACCCTGTGTATTTCAAAGAAATTTTGAAATGTGGAGCTCGGTTATTACTTCAATTTTGATACATGACTTTTTTTTGTATCTCTCAAGACAACAGAGAAATCGAACTCTGGAGTCTTAGTTGGCCACCCTGTACATATCAAACTGGAATACATGATCAACACTGTGGTCTTATGTTTGGAATGGAAAAATTCCAGAAATAATTCAGATCATAAATGAATAATAAATACAAAGTGATATTTTTGTTTGTGAATTTTGGCGGTTATTTTATGAAAATCTACAAGTCACATTTGTGAAGAATTTGTTAAAACATCCTTAATAGCTTGAAACGGATTTGTAATTTTCACCGAATAGTAAAAAACTTACATGAAAAATGCCTGTAAGTATTTATTTTTGGCGATACAGCAGTTTTTTATTTTCCTTTATTTGCCATTCAAATAGCATAACACATTCTCATAACCTCCATTATTGGACCGAATAAAACCCCCGTTTCAGGACAACTAGTTATGAACGAAATTTTTTTGATAATGTGTAGATGGAATCATTGACAGTCATTTAATAGGATCACATTTTTTCCTAGACCATTTAAACAGAGAAATGCATGAACATTTTCTACGGCATGATCTACCATCAGATGACGAATGATATTCCAACAAGACGGTTGTCCAGCGCATCATCGGATGTTCGTTCGACAGTTCCTGGATGAACGTTTTTTGAACCGTTGGATTGGAACGTCAGGTCCAATAGGTTGGCCAGCGCGAATTCTTGACCTAACCCGTTACCACCGATCGTTACCACCGATACAACAAGGCCTGCATGCTCCGTGGGTGACGTCACTTAGTCAGGCCTAACCAGCGGCTCGAAACGACAAGCGCTTATAGCTTATAGCTTATAAGGCGACCGCGTATTTCGATTTTAGTTTTAGATCATCATAGAGCCGATTTTGCTGTTTTTTGAAGGGCTTCCGGTTAAAAAAGGATGCCAGTCGTCAACTGAGCCCTTCTTCGCACCCCATTCGATTTTATTATGGAAAAACGAAGTTTTAAAGCAAAAACCAGGATAAAACACAAATATCCACCTACAGCAACCCTCGCAGCAACCCATTCGAATTAAATATATTTGCAAAAATTGTGGTGAAGGTAAAATTCACACCTTATACAGGGCCCGCAGAACATAAACTTATCGTGAGATTGATCGAAAGAAAATTGTGGAAAATGTATTTTATTTTGATTGACATGCCGTTTGTTACAATTACCTATATTTATCTTGGAGAATTCCTATCACCTGAAAAAATAACCAGTGAGTGTTTTCAATTTTCTGCTGTTGGATTTTTCACCCAAGTGGATCGTTACACTTGAAACCGTAATTTTTAAGGGTAAAACTGCATTTATCATGCGATAGTTTTTTTTGTTTGAAATTTTTTTTCGGTACTCACGTATTTTTGTCTGATAAACCGAATTTTATAATGAAAATGTGAACAAACCACTATTTATTGAGATATTTCAAGAAAAAGTTCGAAATTTCGCCTTCTTTCTCCCCTTGTGTTGGGGGCATTTGAAGCTACTTGCTCTTATTTTGTCATTGGACACTATATATACTCATGATGTACTACGATGGCACATTTTTATATAGAAAATTCAACAAGAAATATGATTTTTATGGCGAGTTTTTCATATTTAGTGAACAAGCATTCCAGATGACGACCATTAAATCAATAGTCAATCAAAATACGAGATGTCAAATGTCAATAGATTGCTTTCGAATGACATTACACACGCCATTATTTTGAATGATATTCTTCCTTCTTTCACTAAATATGGATTAATCTCAAGAAAATCATATTTATAGTTGAATTATATATAAATTGTCCAATGTGATGAAAAAAGAAGGGAAATTTGTTCTAAATGCCATCCAGAAGACAGGTGGAAAAGAAGGTGCAATTTGGAACTTTTCAATCGAATATCTTCATGATAAATGTCATGATAAATGCAGTTCTACCTTTTTTGAGTAGAGTGTTTGTAGTTCATGTTAATTTGATCATTGGAATGAATTCTGCATTCATTGCCACGAGGCAAATGACCGTTTTCAGAAAGAAATTTGAGAATGAGAATTAAAAATTCCCGTTTATTATGAACATTCAAGAAAATTTCCTCGAATTCAGAGATGATTTTGTTGACTATAATATACGAATACAAAACTAACTGCACAATCAAAGCTTTTCTATTTTTCCTCTACTTATACTTTTTATGAGAGAGTAATTGTCTTCTATTATTAATTCATCATTATAAATTAAGCTCTGTTTACTACTGAACTTAGATGGAGTAAAATCCTCGCGGTGAATTGCATATACCTACATTTTCGATAGCTCCTCGTCCAACGGGAAACTAAAAGCATGAACTTTTGAACCACCCACATAATTCCCCCGACGAAAGGGAACACAACACTTGAAAGGCATTGTTATTTCGCCGATCACAACACAAAATATTTCACAAAACAGTAATTTTTCCGCCAATTATTTTGATGAATAAACAACAAAAGAATTCGGGACCGTTTCAAAAACATACGTGAATCACCGATGAATTAACACGAACTGACGCGTTAGTCGACAAGCGATAAAATAAAACACTGGCCTCACTTGGCGACGTCACGAGCTGTTTACGTCTGCTGGCCTTGTTGTATCGGTGGTAACGCCTAACCCCCCTCAATTATCAGGAGTGGGGTCATATGGTAGCGCTAATTCATGAAACCCCAGTAAATACCCGGGAAGAGCTCATACAAAGTATAACCAACGCTGCCCTGCACATACAAGATAATTTTGACAACTAGAATAAAAAAGAAGGAAATAAGGAGACGCTGCAGAACATATATTCGTAATTAAGGTTTCACTTTGAACAGGATTTGTAAAAAGTAAATACTATAAGAAGTTTTTCAAGTACGTTTTCAATATTCATTCAAAATAACAAACCTGTATCAAGCACCTATATTATCATTCGTACCCAGTAAGATAGCTATTGTCTGAGGGCAGTTTTAACAAAAAATTTACGGATGTTAGGGATGTTTCTAAAAATACTCGCTATAAAGTGTTAACATCCACAATTCACAAATGAAGATACGAATTAGTATTTACAATTTATTTTTAATCTAAATGATTTCTGAATTTTTTTCATTTCAAACATAAGATCATAGTGTTGATCATATATTAAAGTTTAAAGGTTGAAAACATGTACAGCCGATTTTCAGGGAACTCACTTCTAAGCCCTTGGAATCTATGTGAAGGAAAACAGAAAAATTTAAATATATTATACAGGGTGTTCCGAAACTATTGTGCCAAAATGTAAGGGTGGGTAGATCTCACCAAAACAAACGTTTTTTACTTATCAACCCATAGGCGCATGCACCTTATTTCGGTACCAATAAGTGTCACAAGAAAAAAGTTTAACATATGTGCATACTCAAATAATATCGATATTGAGTGCCCAGCTCTACCGATTTTGACGTATGTACATACATAAATAAATAATATCGATATTGAGTGCTCAGCTCTACCGATTTTGACGATCGAGACCAATCGCTGCGCTCCCGACACTCGTATTGCGTAGACTTCTCATTTATTATTGCGTCGTGGCAATGTGTAAAACCTAACTCAATCTAAATTGTAGTGTTTTTTTTTATAAACTCTCCCATATATTGCTTGTGATTTCATGTCATTTACTAACACGGTTTCCGGTACAAACACGTTTCCCCATGTCCGAGGTTGGATACCACTGCGCGGACCTTAATGCGCTATTATCACTGAACGCATGCGCATGCGCCTATGGGTTGATAAGTGAAAAACGTTTGTATTGGCGAGATCTACCAACCCTTGAATTTTGGCACAATAGTTTCGGAACACCCTGTATATAATATATATATATATATATATATATATATATATATATAATATTTCCATAATGCATATTGGGGTTGAATTCACTCCTTATCACCTTCCCTATCACATAATCAATGGAATCTATCAAATTACCCGTAACCCTGTATATAATTAAGTTGCGTCCAATCAACAATTTCATTTTGCACAGTATTACACTTGGTGAAAAAATGGTAATGGCCATATTAATTTCTCATTTTTTCGACTTGTTTTGGTGGGAAAAACCAACTCAATATTTTTCCGCACATTTAATGAATCACGTATGGCACCAATGATAATTTATATTCAAATTTGTTAATAAAAATATAATGTATACGCAAAACTTACCATCACATGTGAAAGAAAAATCGTTTGGCATAGTAAAGTTTCCGAATTCGTCATCTTCTTCATCATCAGGCGAAGGAGGAGGTGGAGGGGAATTGCTTAGTAGTGGAGGAATATTATTAGACATCTGAAAGAGTATTTGAAATGAATGGTTATTGCACAAAAAAAATCTGAAGAAAAAAATCTCTCGATCAACTTAAGGTCCATTTGGTATTATTTCATTATTTCGGAGTACTAGTCCTAAGCTAGTTAACTCTCGCCAACCGTTTTTTTTTCTCAGAACTCTATTTTTTTGAATAATCATTGAAAGTCATGATATTTCATATCATGAAAGATATGAGAAATTGTGTGACGTAATCTACCTTGAATAATCTAATGCAACCATTTAAGAAGTTTTTTATTGAAAGAATTGATACCAGACTCGAAGCAAATACAAAAATAATACATGACTATTCCAGTTATTCACAAAGTGAAGAAGGACAAAATTTACATTTCTCAATTATCCTGGTTTTGTTCTCAATGTGCCATGAATGTTTGGGATATTTTAGAAGCGGAAATTGTCCTTTTTTATTATTCCAAACTTTTTGGGATTTTTTCTCCTCGTTTCTATAAAATAAAATTATGAATATTATTTCAATATACGTGTGTAGTAAGGTCAAATCAGATGATTTGCCCCGGCGTTTAAAGAATTTTTCTATCAGAGAGCCCAAACGAAAAATTCACTGGCTTGTCAGTGACAATGGGCTTATATCACAAAAAAATTTATTTCATAATTCGATAGAACTCACCCCAACTAGCTCACCACCGCAAACCGTTTCTTGCTGTGAGCTCCCTACATTTTGTAAAAAATTATTGAAATTCCCGATTTTTCGGACCTCTGAAAACGAGGCGATGATGTGACGTCAAAACCCTAATACTGAAACAAGACTATTCCAGACAGAGATGAATGATACATGATTTCTGACAGAGTGAATTAGCGTGAGATCATAGTTGAAAGAATTAATATATCAGTTGCCTCAGTCTCCGTCGGGCGTTTGGTATTTTCTTTCAACTATGGTGAGATGAGGTTTCTACGTCATAAGAGGGTCCGTTTTCAGAAGGTACTATTATTTATGTCCAAAAATGAAATATTCCAGTAAATTTTTAGATCGAATTATGTCGTCGATCATTATTTATGTATGAAAGGATCATTATAAACATGGTTTGAGTTCAAAGTTCTACTAAGGTGTACACGCCCATTTGTATCGAAAACAGTTTGGAGAAGAGAAATAAAGGTATATAGAAAAAATTGTCACTTATCTTTGGACGTTTCGGGACCGAATCTGCTCCCGTTTCCAACATAAAAAATGATTATTTTAATAGCAGATTCGGTCCCATAAGAAGGAACTCATCCTTTCAAAGTTCAATAATTCAAAAATGGTTACGAATATCAATATGGATGTTGGGATAAAATATGTTCGTGTTTTGATTTCACATCAAATGGCCAAACAATACATGGGGGGTTCCATTTGAAAAACTCGAGAAAAATCACTTCGAAAAGTTCCGAATTGAAAGAGCATTATTAGCCACCCTGTATAATTTGAAGGTATCAAAATTCTTCAGAAACATCATCCATCTTTTTATGGAATGATATTATGAAAGTTGAAAAATACCTTGAAACATAAAGACTTTGAAACGAGACTGCAAGTAACGAGAATTCACAGCTATTATAAGGAACCAATTTCAAATCTTGAACTATCTCATCAAAAATCTTTGGAAAACTTTGAGGAAACTGGGAATGCAAAAATGCAGACAATTTTGAATCAAATCAAGACTCAAATTGATAATTCCGGTATATATTACAACCAAAATAATAGTCAACTTCAGTAATTAAAAACGTGAATCCATGAAATCGATGACAAATTAAAAGGTATTCTAAGTCAAGTGCAATTTATGAGCAACATATTTCTCATAATTCTAAATATAATGCTAATAGATGGGATGCAGAGAGTGTCGAAGAAGCTTATAGTCAGTTATAAATTAAGTTACAAACTGTGACCCCTTTTGGCCAGTGAGATGAGACGCCACTTCTTCATGAAAAGAAAGACAGAGATAGATATATGGATGTACTCTTCACCGCGGCAGTAGAGGAAAGAAGGTCCAAAGTGCGTGGAAAAGCATATCCAATATCCATGTCTTTGTTCAACCAAACCTTCAAAGTCATTTTGAGAATTTGGGGTTATGCATTCTGTTGCTGCTTGTCATAGTGGCCGTAGTCTTATTACAGCAAAACAAAAAAATACATACAGGGACTCTAGATTGGAAAAGGAATAGAAAAGAGGATATCACCCAAGACAAGGAATATCCCGCTAGGGAACCGCGGGTTCACCATTCTCGAGAAATATATTCGAAGGATTTTTTTTAACAAACTCGTGATTAATAATCTCCAATATTACTACTCAGAACTCTCATCAGTACTGTTCTGTTCTTTAATAGTATATTATGTAACAAGTGTTATAAACGTCCTTTTATTTTAAGCACGAGCGGAGAAGAGCGGAGCGAGTGTTTAATAAACGAGTGTCTAGACAGTTAATACAATTGACAGGCCAGACATGTCTCAAATTACTGAAGCTGTGTTTAATGAACTGTGTTGCCATGGTAATGTGTTTAAGAAATCGTGTTGCCATGGTAACGTGTTTAATATTTTGAATAAATCACAGATCGTCAATCCGTGATTTATCGATCATTTAGCGTGGTACATATCCGTACGCTAAATGCCATTTTAGTTATGTGATTAGAAAAAATTAATTTTTCATCGTACATGTTAGTATTTTGAGGTCAGAACCTCATGACAGCTTATGAATGGAAAAGTATCGATTTGCCACTAAGACACAATGAGAATATTTTGAAGAACTCGTCGAGCGCTACTCAGAACTCTCATCAGAACTGATATGTTCTTTGAAATTGATTTTTTATCGAATATGGTAGTTTTTTTTAGGTCGGAGTCTTAAGACAGCTGATGAATGAAAAAGTATCGATCTGTCACCAAAACACAATGTGAATATTTTGTAGAACTCGTCGAGCGCTACTTAGAACTCTCCTCAGAACTATGATGTAGGCAACTTATGACAGCCGATAAATGAAAAAAAAAAATGATTTCTTCATAAAACGAAATAGGAATGTTTTGAAGTAATCGTCGATCGCTACTCACAACTCCCATCAGAACTGTTCATTACTTTGGAATTAATTTTTAATCGAAAATCTTAGTTTTTTGAGGTCAGCACCTCATGACAACTGATACATAAAAAAGTATTGATTTGTCACTAAAACACAATAAGAATATTTCGAAGAACTCGTCGAGTGCAGATGATTTAGTCCTAATAGTGAGAGGGAAATTTGAAGCGACGATCTCAAATGGCCTACAAGAAGCCCTGAATACTGTGTACAGATAATGCGAGAGGGAGCAGATGTCTGTGAACCCCCGGAAAACTGTAACCATCCCTTTTACCAAAAGACAAAAGCTAGATAAGCTTTGTCAGCCTGTCCTATATGGAGAAAGCAGTCCGTTTGCGGCGGAGGTGAAAGATCTAGGGGTCACCCTGGATAAAAGACTCACCTGGAACGACAACATGGCGAGAACTATTGTTACGTTATTCGGGTGAAGAAGCGAACACAACACTATTTATTTTCGAACTGATTTATTTGAATTAAAGGCACACTAATTTATATCGAACTTACAACTACTATTTATGTAAAACGATTTATATCACGCGGTATATAACTGTCTCTCTGACACTCGCTGCTCGACTGCCTGACGGCAGTTGTCCGGCCGTTTATATATGAGATCCCTTCGTAGGCTTTGGTTCGAGAACGTTCCCGAATGATATTCTGTCTCCTTATTTTTGTTCTAGAAGCTTCTTAGAACAATACCTCTCTCTCTAATTGTTCCATCGATTGTTTCCAGAACATTCCAGAACCTTCTGTCACGTTATTTGTCACCGCGGCATATATTGAGTGTTCGGAAATATGCTGGTGCATGTAGGAATCATTGGGAGGTTGGAGAACAATCTGGGATGCGTGTTACAGGATGATCGTTGTACTCCTGCCTTCCTGCTGATGTTTCTAGAGCCCCTCTAAGGGGAATATCATTACACTATTAACAAAGCAACATTCTCCCTCTTGAACCTCAGATGAGTATGCGGCAAATCATGGGGAATTAACCCCAAACAGATTTACAAGATTTACCAAACAATGGTATGGTAAAACCAATGGTCACGTATGGCTCAGTAGTCAGCCAGGGCACAGCTTGCTGGAGAGGAAAGCCAGGATGGTTTCCTACAAATTCCTGTCACTGGAAAATCAAATTAAAGGGGGGGACAGCCGGACCACTCCGGGATGCTGTGTGAAATAAAAAATCACTAAACAGTAGGAATGGTTCCCGACATGTTGGCTACTCAGACACACGTGAAAGTCTTTCAAAGTCCTCTTCCCGAAGAGAGACAAGTGGAAAAGCTCGTGGAAAAGTGGATTAGTCCAATTCCCAGAGGCCGAAAACGTAATGTACACAGATGGTTTGAAAACCCCTCTTGGAGTTGGAGCCGGTGTGTTCAGCAGAAAACCGAAGACGGAAATATCTGTCAATCTCGTATGCTATGCTACAATCTTCCAGGCGGAGGTCTTTGCAATTGAATTGTGTGAGAGAGTTGACGAATTGACCTCTAGTAAACAAAACCATCCGTATTGTATCAGACAGTCAGGCTGCTCTTAAAGCACTGAGCTCCAGCAAGATAAATTCCAAGCTTGTATGGGCTGCATTGAATCCCTAGAATGCCTGGATGCAAACAAAAGAGTTACTTTGCAGTGGGTGCCTGGACACCAAGGGGTGGAGGGCAGCGAGAAAGCCGACATCCTCGCCAAACAGGAAACCGAATCTATGTGCATAGGATCAGAACCATACCTGGGATCACCACAAGTGTGGCCAAAACAACTATCTCAGACTGGGCGGAGGGGAAAAGATTCACATACTGCCTATACCATCGAAAAATATAACCAGGCAGATCCTAGAATGGAGCAGGAGTAACCTGCGAATTCTGACAAGACTGCTCACGGGACACTGTCGTCTAAGATACCACCTTATAAAGATGGGTCTGAACCAACAAACGGACTGTCGGTTCTGCTGTGTGGAAGACGAAACGGCTGAACACATATGTTCATGCTCCTGCTTGAGTCCTGCTTAGGGAGACTGAGGTTCGACATATTTGGCTTTACCAATTTATAACCTATCGATTTCAGACAAATGTCACCTAATTCAACCATGCACTTTATAAAAAGATGTGGATTGAACAGTGAACTGTAACCTCTAGGGGTGAGCCACAAAAGACCCATCAGGGATCGCAGTGGAGGGGCGGTACTCGCCCCACTAGCATGGGACCTAACCTTACCTAAAACTCGAGACTGGGTTCCGTTTTCGGAATATTTCGATTTGTAATGAAGTGATAACTGTTGCTGGTATAAGGAAGAGAAAGCTATGTATTATAGTAACTATTATGAAAAACCTCGTGAAAAACTATCACTTATTCATTGAAAACCAAAAACAACAATACATTCATAATGCTAAACTCATTGATTGAACAATAAATCACAAGAATAACATTGAAACTCACATTGAAAGAAATTTGACTAGAAACATGGGATTGATTGATTTGATTGATTGATTAATAGCAGAATGATCAGTCAGGGTTTGAAGCCCAAAACACTGCAGCCTTTAGGCCTATTGTATTCCTGATCATGCTGTTGACTTAGGTGAACAGGTTTGCTACATTGATGAGGTTTAGCAGCCTCTTCACCAAATCATTCTTTGAAAATGCCTCTTGAGAGTTTTCTGCTCCCAGAAGGTTGTATCTCCAATGCGCTAGTGCTTCGCACTCCAATATTACATGGGTGGCAGTTTCCTCCTCCTCATTGCATAGTCTGCATATGGGTTCGTCTGTATAGATGCCCATTTGATGCATATGTTTCCTCAAGGGGCAGTGACCGGTTATTAGCCCCGTCACTTGTTTGATCTGACTTCTGTTTAGGCTCAGAATGTCGTTAGCCACTGTTTTGGACAGTGTTCCAACCATCAGTTTACTGTGTCTTTGTCCTGGGACAACATGGGATTACACAGTTCCATTGAATTTTAAGTGAAAAGTATATGCTACCAAGGAAGCTACAGGGGTAAATTTACTTCAAGAGTTGCAAGACAGAATAAAACATCACCTAAATGACCTAACAGCTGATCCTCAACCGTTTAGAAGAATAATGCATTCTTGAGAAAAAAATAACGCTGGTGTATTTGTGGTAATGGAGGACATTTTGAACACTCACTCTAAGTGATTTAATATTTTAAGTTTTTAGTCAATTTTTTCTCAATTTTCTATTTGTGATTCTTTGTTCAATCAATAACTTCAGCACAAGAATAATGTTATTGTTTTTGAATCTGAATAAATAGGTAATTGATCTCAATACAATTTATTTTATACCAACAACAGCTATTACTCCTTCATTTTCAAAACAAAATATTGTGAAAACCATGGTGAAAACGGTAGGCAGTATTGAGTTCAATCAAGGGTACCTTTTTGATGTTGAATAAAAAATCTAACCTCAAAAAAGTTATGTTATAAACTACTTGGTAGGAAACGTTGAGGGAAACATGTAACTAGCGCCCTCTATAAGAGTAGGATATAACAACAACTTCATGTGATGTGTCAGCTTTCAAGACACATCCATACAAAATTTCATTGCAATGTTGCCAGTTGTTTGGACATAACCCTAAAAATGTTCAAAAACACATTTTTTTCAACACCTTGAAAATGGATGCTATTACAACATTCTTTTACTGAGCAAACCCAACTTATTTTGCAGTGTTCTGCCTACCCTACCAAGGGGGATAGGTTTTTTTGAAACACCCTGTATAATACAACAAAAACCCTGTATAATACAACAACAAAAAAGAATTCATTTTCTAGAAAATAATGGTGCTACTTAAAAATTAATGTTTTCCATTCACTTCTTAGATTTGCTGGAACTATTCAAAATTCCAGTCAGGGACTCTAGAACTTCATCAAATCTACTTAGAACTCCAAATAAATTTGAGTTTTTTGAAGAAAAAAAAGGCACCAACTTCAGCCAGTTGGCAAAACAATAAATAACTTATAGAATATGAGATGCTCAAGCACCAGTTGGTTATTTTGTCAGTAGCATTTGAATATGTACAGTAATATCAACCAATTTCAACTTAGTAATGTTGTACTTCAATCCTGATTTTGGTCTCTAAAATCATGAGATAGAATGGGTCAATTTGGGCCTTGTTTTTAAATTCAATATAGGATTTGATAGACAAGAAAAAGTACTTAAATATGTTCTGCATTTCCCAATAGAGTAAAAAAGTACCAGGTTCATGACCAAATTTATATATTTATGGACCTTATGATGAGCTATTGAGTAAAAACTATAACAGTGGATTAGTGTACCAAAATTCATGGATATTATATATTGGAAATTTCAAATAATTATGGAAAAACTTACCTGATGAATAATATGAAGCAACCTTGGGCTATCCTGTGAAATATTATGTTTCTGTAGTTACTGTACTGTATGGTGGATAGGTGACTAATCTTAGAACCACATATACAAATATATTAGTTCAAATTCTATAAAGTGAACTACTCTTCTCCATAAACAGTAAATCATAAAGCATTTCGTATTTGTAATTTTTGACTAATTAAATTAGCTGAAAAAAATGAAAACAAGTGGACGATTTGACATTCATCATTCATTTTTCATTTGACACGACTGACACGTGACCTGACACTGGACTACTGGACAGACAGTAAACTGACACGAGACACGACTGACACCTGACACGAGACCCGACTGATTCTTGTTTTTCTTTTGATTCATCAATTCTTGAATCTTGCCGTGATAGAAATCTGCCGAAAGTGCCAAATGCCGAACGGAGAGCCTTGCAAAAGGGAACATGAGGGAACAAATGCATGCTTCATGCTTCCACTTTTTTCCGAAATAATTAATTGACAAAAATACTGTGAAGGCTTTTATTTTTGGGACCGATAGCAGAGATGAGTAACCCACAAAAGTTCTGTGGATGAATTATCTCTGCCATTAGTAATTCGAAATTCGTATTTTCAATCATGTTTTTTTTCAGTAAATTTTCTGTACATTGTTTCTGCACGGATTATCTGTAATAGTTGCGCCTTGCATTTTCAACTGTCTCCTCAGCTTCACTATTTTCTGCGTTCTGTCTCCAGAATCTAGATTCTAGAATGGCTTTAATCATTGTGTAGTATCGATCTCACGACAGAGATAAGTTACCCACAGAAAATATCGATTTCGTGCGATTGCTGTTTGACCTAAAGGGGATAGGAACATAGGAACAGAGTAACACACGAGCAACGATTCAAGAAAACGAAAGTGTCATCTAAGTCATTTTTATTTTTGTCAACATGTCAACGTCTGAGGCACGATGTCTGAGGTTATGTAAGTAATAATTAACGTCAATTCTCCAATTTCACAATTTTGCCAAATTCGATCAGATTTCTCGATTAGTTGAGATAAAAGTCCAAAGTGTGAGTGTGTTGTGAAGCCATTAGATGCCAACTTTCTTCATATCAATAATTATTATAAATAATGCAGATTCCATTGATGAAAAAATGGAAGGAAATATAGATTTCAGAAACATCTAATTAATTCATTATGAATGCATAACATCAGCTTACCATAGCAGAATTCAAAGTGAGAAGACCCAAAACCATGGTATACAATATTGACTGGATTATACCAAAACTGAGAAAACCTACAATATTATGGAAACTCGCTAGTTCATTCACAGTAGCAGCAGTGGGACTCTTTAGTAAAATCTTAATACGTAATAGTACATAGACAGTATTGTTGTTAGTTCTTCTAATAATAAATATGTTTCAGATTTGTTGAACAGAAGTAAAATTCATAATGTAAGTGTTATAACACAGTTGCTGGAAAATAGGCCTAAACATGTTCCTTTATTGACAGTCTCCAATCATCACTCATGTTTTGATGACCCTGGAATATGGGGTGAGTATACTTTCCATAGAATTGTATCTTATTCATTATTGATAACAATTTAATGTTGTAGAATTAGGTATATTAAAATCTCTAGTAAAATCCAAATTATGTTGAAAATATTTTTTTTATATATTCCTGCAGAGATTTGTGCTGATGATATTTTTATTGCTGCATTTATATCATAAATTATGTTTTCTCATCCTTTGTAACACAGTGTTTTCAATGTTCAAACTGTAGCTAAATAAGGAGACCATTATTGAACTAACAAATTCAACCAGAATCTGAATATGTTTTTTGAGAAATGAAAAATATTCACTAACCCAGATTTCAAATATGGAAACAATAGGGTAAATGCAGCACTATGTGGAAAAGAGCCTTTAGAGCAGATATTGATAATATTCCAAATATACAGTAGCTTACACATTTCTCAGATCAAATTGAAAATTTATTTATAAAAATAAATAAAAATAAATAAATTTGAAAACTAAATAAAAAAAAAATAGGTTCTTCTGGGTTCTTCTTATGAGGATTTTTCCTAGAACACTCCATAACTAATAGCAAATTCCATTGGCAGGAACAGGTGGAGTATTTCTTCACTGCGTTTATATTTACCTCTGTTCAACACATGAGCAGGAAACATATAAATTGAGTGCAGAAACACTCCACTAGTTCCTGCCAATGGAATTCACACACATTTTTTCATTGACCCTTTGGAAAACTTCTGGGCTTACATTCAATCCAAAAGGAAGTCTTTTGAAACAATATTTACCAAAAGGTGTTATGAACGTACACAGTTTCATACTATCTTTATCAAGAGTAACATGATAAAAACCCTCCTTAAGATCCAAAACGGTAAATATTGATTTATCTTTCAATTTGACAGCCAATTCTTCCACAGTTGGAATTGGATACTGATCCATGCATGCATACATTTTTATTCAAGTGTACTGGATCTAGACAAATTCTTATTTTATTATTGAGTTTTTCTTTTAAAACTATATTGTTTACCCACTCTGTAGGCTCATCAACTTTTTTAATAATGTCTCTAGTAATTAAATCGTCAAGTGTATTTTTCAAAGCAGGTTTCACTGGAATTCTGCTACAGGCACTCACAAAAGGTACAGAATTACTCTTCAGAACTATTTTATGCTTGAAGGGTACCTTACCTGTACCAGAAAATATATCTTTATTCATTTTAATAAAATCGCCTTTGTTATTGAAACCACATCCCAGAGAGTCAACTCTTTTCAATAAGTTTAACTTTATGCAAGCATCGAGGCAAGCATTAAGGCCAAGTATTGGTATACTGATACTGTCAACATCAATGAGCAAAAACCTGATATTACATTTTACAAAAATGACACATCAGATCTCCTTTTTTCCTTTGGTTTCAGAAGTTTGCAACATCGAATATGCTAACTAGAGGGCACTTTCTCACATTTCAGGATTATTTTTCCATCTTCTAGTTTTCCTGGAAATTACATTAGCTTCCGATTTTCAAATGGAACGCCCTGTTTTTATTCCATAAACCATTAGGGATTATTATAATGAATTCAACAAAACCGGGTTTGATTGGGTTATTTCAAATGATTAGGAAGATATTCACATTTGAAGTTTCCATGACGTCAATGAATGTGAGGGAGCAAAATCAAAACCTCTTTCTCTGTCACACTCATTGAGCTTATGGAAACATCAAACGCATATATCTTTGTAATCATTCAAAATAACCCAATCAAACCCAGTACTGTTGAATATATTATAATAATCCCCGAGATAATCCCTAACCAATTATGGAATAAAATACATGGTGTTCCATTTGAAAATTGAATGTTAATGTCATTTCCAGGAAAACCGAAAGATGAAAAATATTTCCTCAAATGTGAGAAAGTTTTCTCTAGTGAGCATGTTCGATGTTCCAAATTTCAGAAATATAGCTTGAAAAACAAAGGGGGGTATCTTGAGTCAGCGATATACAGGGTGTCCCTAGACCAGTGGGACAGTTGAATATCTCCTGAACCAATAGGAATTTTCAAAATATTATAATTTCACATCATATCGCATTATGAGTGCCAACTTCATGAATGACTATATTTTATACGAGGTGCGCAAGAAAGGCTCACAAAATCGAACATCAATTTTTTCAAATGGAACACCCTGTATTTCATTGTATTTTCATATTCTCCTTGAAGAACTGAATTCACCGACCTAGCACACTTGGGGTCTAGCGGGAATGATTTCCGAGATATAGGGTGTGGAAAATCGAGATTTTTCATTTTTGGGAATTTTTTGTGTCGAAACTATTCATTATTGGTCAAAACGGCCTACATGTCCATATCTTAACTTTTGATCTACTATTTACTCGTATTTGATTGAAACAAATACAGGGTGGTGTAGAATTCTGACTGAAACTGTTAATAGGGAACAACCAAAATTGAAAGTCACTTCCGGTATGACCGGAAATGACTCTAACTTCTTCATTTCAAATAGCACCCTGTATATTTTTTGCAATTTTTGCTTTCTACTCAAAATTACCTTTCCAACGATGTATCACACTTTGCATTTTACAATTGATTTGACAGAGAAAACGAAAATTGAAATTTGAAATCGAAAGAATTGCAGTAGACTACGATATTTTGTGTACATACAGAATGATGTGTTCCTCAATAATTGATGATTCATGAACGATTTTGCATTCGAGATGATGAAGAGAACGTCATATTTCAAATTATTATAGAAATATGTAGTAGAACTGGAAGAATTAATCATTCTTAAATGAAAACCTTAGTGTGCCATGGAAACATTTGAATACATTTGTTTGTATCTTCGACAGTTAAGTTGTGTAAGTGTTAGTTGTGTGCGACATTCAAGAATGAATAACCGTGAAAATGATATGATAACTTCACAATTCAAGAGAAATTGGATATGATACTGATTTTAATTCCAAATTTCAATTTGTCGTTTTCTTCATCATATCAAATGTAAAATACAAAGTGTGATACATCGTTGGAAAGGCAATTTTGAGTAGAAAGCAAAAATTGCAAAAAATATACAGGGTGCTATTTGAAATAAAGAAGTTAGAGTCACTTCCGGTCAAACCGGAAGTGACTTTCAATTTTCTCTCTCAGTTGAAGGTTCCTTGAACGAATTGGAGATCATGAAATTTTCAAATTTGTTACTTTCGAAATGATAATCCATTGGAACAGGTATACTGGGACACCCGGTATATCAAAATTTGGTTAATGGTGTATTCAAAAAAAGTTTCATTGTTTTTTTGTTTATCATTAATACTCAAAATATATGCTTTCTATCCTGTATGATAATCATGTTAGTATGAAATGTTTTTCTTCCTATTTTTCATTCATACTTCTCTCTTCAATAAACTCAGAAAATTCCAATGCAATATTTCGAGAATTTCCAAATCTCCATTGAAATAATTGAGCGATTAACACACTGTGTATGGAATATTTCAGAAAAAAAAGTTACCGGGATTATTTTTTCGAGATCTGTTCAGGTTTTTCATTTGGTCCCAATAAGCTGGACCACCCTGTATGTGAGCTTCTGTCGAGGCTTCCGTAATGGAAGTAGGTTTCTCAGATCCAATATTTATTACTTAATTTCATATTACATAACTTGTGAAATTTTGTTTGCCTTATATCAACGATTTTGTCTTACTTATGATTATGCAATGCCTCATCAGTTAATATTCACGCTCTTACGATTTGATAAGATTCTGAAGAAATGAAAGTTTTTAAAAAGTAGACCTTATGTAAATTTACTTAAACTTTGGTGAATATCTAGCTATTTATACAGACTGACTGACAAAAAAATGCCCCAAGTTGTAGCGCTGTTATTTATTGTCCGATTTTGATAAATGAAGAATTGGGATTGGGACTTCATGAAATTTTCAATCCAGTCATCTTCATCATTATTGCAGTAAATCCCTTTGAATCAATCCTATTTGTCTCAACATTTAGGGGTGAAAGTACCTCTTTTTCTTATAATAATTGGGACGTACGGAAGGGAACAGTGGGTGTGTTAGTTAGGTCCTTGAATGGTTAGGGGTACAAAGTGAACTATACAGGGTCCTGCATCTCACCTCCCGTCGCCGATAGCTCAGTTATCAGTTGAGTCAGGATTTTGATATTATTCAGACTTCAATTGTATCATAGGGCGCATACCAGGAAAATGATTTCGATTATACAGGGTGTCCCAATAATGTGAGACGTCATAATGATATATTTTTTAAATGGCATGCCATATATTTTGTTGCACATTTGAGTGCTTCTAGTGGTTACCTACATACTCCTGGAATTTATTTGAAACTGGTTCAGTGATATTCACCTAACAAAAATATTGCAAAAAAATCAATTTTGCACCACTGGTCAAAAACTTTAATAACAGAAAATAGAGTGCCTGCTCAATAGAATCATGTAGTAGTAGTAGTAGTAGAAGTTGGTAGGGAGGCTGTAGCCAAGCAAGTAGGCCCCAATGGGCCTTTTTTGCCAACCCCTGCTCTCCACATATCTACGCTTCCTTCACCTAGATTTCCTTTACGAATCTCCCTGACCTTCTGATGAAGGCCAGTATGTCCGTCCACTCTAATATTATCAAGTCCTCCTGTTGGAGTTTGTCTACTCCAAAGATTTCAAATCTCAGCCTTCCGTACGCCTCGCACTCGCCAAGAAAATGGAGTGACGTTTCCTCGTCTTCCCCGCATCTCTGGCAAGTGGGGTTGTCCTCTATTCCCATAAGTGGTAGGTGTCTGCCTAGCCTGTTGTGTCCTGTGAGTACTCCTATGAGGAGGCGGAGTACTTGGCGGTCTCTGCCAAGAAGCCTTGATTTGCTTGGACCGGCCATTAATTCCTTGGCCTGCCTGCAACCTGTGATATTCCTCCAGTATTCTCCTAGTGCCTTGTCCGCCCATTCATCGAGGGCTGACGTAATTTGGCTCCTTGCTGACCTTGCTATACCTAGTACGGGCTCCGGTCCCAGAAACGGCTCCGCGGATCCGGCCCTAGCAAGTTCGTCTGCTGTTTTGTTTCTGGGCACCCCACTGTGACCCAGGACCCATACCAGTTCAACGTCGTTTGATTCGGCTAATATCTCAAGGGTATTTCCACATTCCTGTACCTATGCTGAGCTTGGTCTGGGATGACAGATAGCCTTGAGTTCTGCCTGACTATCCGAACAGATGTAGATCTTCTGCTCTGGTCCCTTTTTCACCTCTTTCCTCTCTGCTACGACCAGGATGGCGAACATCTCAGCTTGGAAAACTGAGGTGTATCTTCCTAGAGCGTAGCTTTCTCGTATGTTTCTTCCTTCGAGATAGATCCCTGCGCCCGAGGCCTGTTTGTCAGTCAGACGGGATCCGTCTGTGTAGCTTCCTGGGCGAAACTCCACTGTATTGCTTCTCCATTCTTCTCTGCTTGGAATAGTAAGTTTGAACTTCCTATTCCATCTCAGCCTGTCCTGTACTTTATTCACTCTGAGAGTGAATTTTTGCACGTCCTGTTATTGTCCCTTCACTCGTTCAGTTTCCTGAGTCCGCATCCTCAGGTGGGCCGCCATTCAATAGAATCATAATAGATGCATATCAAATAAGGCCTAAGAGTATCGCTAACCGAGTTTGATTGAAACGAATCATCACAGGGTGTGCAAAATGCTGTGGTATATTTCCATGTCATTCGATGCGTGAATAAAAAACAAACTTTTTTTCTTATTACAACCTCATCGAAATTCTCATCGTATCAAAAGTTATTTGCCATAAACTCGTTTCATGAACTGGTCTTTGTCGAATCGTTTGACTCGTGATGTTTCGAAATTCGATCGTGTTATGTGTTATTACCTATATGAGTTTGTGTTACGATGTTTTTATATTGTAATGTTTTAATATTCTATTATAGTTTGTCCAATATCATGAACCTATTGTGATTAATGTCAAATAATCTGAAAAGCTCGAAGCAGTTGGCACTGGCAAGGTTGGAGGTCAAGTCAGCTGTCAATCTTTGTTTTATTTATTTGCAGGAACGAAATTTGTTTACGAAACTTCAGTAATAACCGTTATTAAGCTGCCTCAACGTTGTGTTGTGCCTTTTGTTTTCCTTGATAACGTCTGGAATGAACACATAATTCAGTTATATCGTAACCTAATTTATTTATTTAAGTTTTCACTCATCCCATGGCATCTAGATGACAGATGACCCCCAACCACACTAGTGCCTCAACGCGGGAGCAATATTGAACATTTCTGCCATCAGATGGGTCAAGATCAAGATCTTTACACAGATCTTGGGTAAAGATGATGTTGATTTCCACACAGGTTCCTCATTGTTAGGAAACATAGAATAGTTCATGAATAAGTCGCTATCGACTTTTTAGGCACTTTGAAATTGAAGCACGTCATGAATTCGCGGGTGATGAGATGGTCGTTAGCTGCCCATGACATTTGTTACACCTGCGCACTCCACGCCAAGTTCTTCAGTTTGGGTAAATGCATTCCAGTTGTGAGAGGGGCAGGTGTGTATCAAGATGCTGTCGATTTTTGCATAGAACAACTGGCCAAAGGTGGATGGGTTCATATTTTTCCTGAAGGTAATTTATTCTTGCATCCAACATCTCCATAATACAGACAGTCACTATATTCAGAATTAAATTGGTACTGTCAGTAGATCCACTGAATGCTGAAAATGTGCTGTAATTTGGAACACATTTTCATGGTTTTCATCAGTAGTCACCAGCAGTTGATCAGCTGGTAAAATTTGTGTCTGTAGTTTCTCGTTTATCTGCGCTAGATATTTAGCCTCCTGCCTGATATAAATTTTAGAAATTTAATATTTAACATGGAAGAGCAATCGATTCTTATAGCCTCCATAGTCTCTACGTTTGTTGACGATGACGATTCAAGCTCGAGTGATGAAGAATACTGGGAATTATGTTGCCATTGCACCAGAAGATGTTGGCTATATTCCGAATTCAACTGGTCAGTACTGACAGCAAATCCACTGACTGGTGAAAATCTGTGTTCCGAAATATAAAATCAAAAATACAGTGCTGTGATTCGAAACACGTTTTCATCAGTAATCAGCAGCAGCTGATCAGCTGGTGAAATTTTAATATTATTGTCAGCGTCAATTCTTTTAATAACAGACATTTTCTGATATTAAATATGATATTATCAATTTATGATTGATAAGACAAGGATTAATGTTTAAAAAAAACGAAAATACAGTGTCATTCATAAAGTCGGCATCATATGGAAAACACTTTCATTAATGACTTATTTTGTAATTCGAGTTGGACGTTAAGTTTTGCTTCAAAAAAGATGAAAAATGGCCTACTCAATCGGGGTCACGTGACATTCGCTACATGTCATGAAGTTACATTTTTTCAGATCAATCGCTGAAAGTAGGCTTATTTGATGAATATCGAAAAAGTTTACTTGACAAAGTTGTTTCTATTTAAATTTTACATATGTGACTCGGATTTTATCTTTCTATTACATTTTTTAGATTTCGATATTTTTCAAAAATTTTCGAAATTTCTGTAATATTAAAAAAATGTAAATTCGATTAAACTACTTTATACCAGTAGTTTCATCATGCTACTAACTCTCAATTACTAATTATAACTAATTATCGACAAAAATATGATTTTCTTCAGAAAATGATAATCTCTGCTTCAAAATTCTGTTATGTTTGATGCAAACATAACTTCAAAATTCTGTTATGTTTGAGTCAAGCATTTAGAAACGAAATTCATTTAAATTTATTTTTTCAGTACTGAAAAGATCAGTTTAAATGAATTTCGTTTCTAAATGCATGATGATATATCAACTTTGCATCAAACATAACAGAATTTTGAAGCGGGTATATCATTTTCTGAAGAAAATCACATTTCTGTCCATAATCAGTGATAATAAGTAATTGAAAGTAAGTAGCATGAAGAAGCTACTGGTATGAAGTAGTTTCGTGGAATCAACAATTCTCCAAATATTACAGAAATTTCGAAAAATAAAAAAATATATATATAAAAGTTGCAATAGAAAGATCAAATTCGAGAAGCATGTGTAAAATTGAAATAGAAACTACTTTTTCAAGTAAACCTTTTCGATATTCGAACAAATAAGCCTACTTTCAGCGAATAATTTGAAAAAATGGCACTTTTGACACGTGACTCCGATTGAGTAGGCCATTTTTCATCTTTTTTGAAGCAAAACTTAACGTCCAACTCGAATTCCAAAATAAGTCATTAATAAAAGTTTTTCCCATATGATGCCGACTTTATGAATGACACTGTATATGTGATATTCCTTCCCCCTCTGAATTGATGACAGTTCACTGAAGCCACACTACCTTTTGATAGTCAGCAATTTCAGCAGAATGTTGAGTCGAAATATTTGGAATGAATAGTATGTCTGCTCACAACTATCTGTCACTTTCAGTAAATTTTTTAATTTTTTTTTTTGGTCCGTAGGACTCGTAATTTTTTCTGACAGTTTTTTGAGTTGAATTACCTAATGGCAACAAAATTCGAATTATAAATGCCCAGTTTACTTCGACAAAAAAAGCTAGAGTGTATTTCGGTAAGACAATTTAATTTATCAAACATTTGTTTATGGCTGGTTGTTATGCTTTCAAAAGTTAGGTTCCGTTATTGTCGCTGGAAATGTTACGGCAAACTTTTTTTCCTGTCATAATGACAAAATCACGCGGCTTGTGGGATTTTTCATACATGAATTGAATTGTCTCAATAAATACAATTCCTGTTCACAATACTATGGAATATTCTGTCAGAAATTAACGAGATCTAACTGCTTAGTGTTACCTCGAAGCAACTTGATCGAATTCAAGATTACTATCGATCGTATTGCGAACAATCATGGTACGTATTTTCCCTGATAATACAAGTTGTCTTTAGTTTCTGATTGGTCAGATTATGTGTTGATTTTAAGATGAGTTGAATAGTCATAAGAATAAAAATGATAGTCTTTCAAAATACTTTTTAATGACACTCAACAGGCATCAACGGTGTACTTTTACTTTTAATTTGAATCAAATTGGTAATCAGAATGGGCGAGTGGACTGATAATAAATTATTGGCATTCAATTACTCCACTGTCTCGTTAGAAACCTAAATTAATTTTGCAACACTGCTCACGCTCGATTTCAGAATTGGTTAGTTCGATTTCAGAAATGGTAAACTCAATTTCAGAATCGGTGAGATGAATTTCAGAATAAGTCCATTCAATTTCAGAAATGGTAAGTTGTATTTCAAAATTGGTAGGTTCAATATCATAAAAAAAATCCTTATATTTGTTCGAAATGTTTCCGATTGCATGTGAGATTAACAAACCATATTCAAAATATTCAACTTTTCAAAAACCATTTATTCCACAGATGCCTTCCATCTGAATCGCTGGAAGATAGTGGCGTTGCACATGATTATAAGAATGCAAACACATTTGAGGTGTTATCATGTTCATTGAATGATCTGCACATTCTTCCAGACATCGCAGTCTGAATTCTATCTGGTCGAGCAATCTGTTCGGATCTCCAGCTATGACCCTTTGGCGATGCTCTTGCAAGAAGCTCTCCACTTCTGACTTGAAGGCACCCCATATATTATGTTCAATCTGATTCAACATAGGGCTCTCAAACACCGTTCCATCCACTGTAAACAGTCTTCTCTTTTGCAATTAAAAACATTTCAAACATAATATAGAAGGATTTCATCTTCTGAAATTGAACCTACCAATGATAATTCTGAAATACAACTAACCATTTCTGAAATTGAATGGACTTTTTCTAAAATTCATCTCACCGATTCTGAAATTGAGTTTACCATTTCTGAAATCGAACTAACCAATTCTGAAATCAAGATTACTTTTTCCGAAATATAACTTACCGATTCCGAAATTGAAGTTGAAAAGGTATAGAGTGTTTGTGAAACAGTTATATAGTTCCATCCTTATTCAATTCTGGGGATAAACACTAGATTTTTGGCATTCGTTGTTTTTTAGGTTATATTGAGGTCACTGGCGTATCATACGTAATTTCCATATGGAATTCCTGATTCAACTATACCAAGATATAGATGAAAAATCCTCTAGTTTCAGAGTTTACTACTCCAGCATAATCTTTGCGAGGTAGGGAACATATTAATTGTGCCGAAAGCTTAATAAATTTCACCTTAAGAGACTGTTCTTAGACTGTATACCAGGGTTGACTGAATTGACTGAATGAATTCTGATTTCAAACTGAGCAGTAGTTTATCTATGAGCTAAATGAGTTGAGCCTTATGATTGAGAAATGGTGAAAACTTCGATGTGAGTATCTAAACCACTGAACTCATGTAATGTGTGCTAAATATATTTTCGGAAATCCAACTCGAAGAAGAATTCATGGAGTGGCTAATATCACACTATGTATAAAACTTCTTCTAGGACGAAAAGTAGTCTGATAAAAGTAATAGGTACGTAAAATGTGAAAGAATAGAATATACTTCACCCCCATGTTATACATATGATTCTTCCGTCTCCCTTGAATAAAAAGTCATTTTCAAATAATTCATTGATGAAAGTAACAAACAAGTAGGTATACGCAGTATAACTTATAGGCACGTTATTTTCACTCTTGCATCCTACATAATTATATTCTATTTGTGGTAGAGTAATAATTATATAAACTGATGTCTTTCGCCATATTGGATCCGTCATCTTGGATTTTCCAATTTTGACGAAACAATCATTATCTCCTACCCCGAAAACCCCCCGATATCAATTTTGAATAAAATCGAATCATCATTACAAAACTTGTTCGCCATATGATCTTCCTTAACAAGTAAATACCCTGTACAAACCTATTATTAAAATTTTTAATGATTTTCTGTAACGCCCATGGACGTGAGATGACAGCAATGTCAGGGATGCCAGTAGACAAAACTAAAGTCTCTAGATCATTGAAAAAGAATGCAGCTATGATCTGTCCCTACCCTTTTAAGATGACTTTAACGTCAATTTCCATCAAGGGACCCTAATGGCCGCCATTTGGCGATACGTCGAATAAATGGTTACGTCAGTTTTTATGCTGTTTCGTTATTGGTCAGAAAATCTTCGATTTCCACTCATGAAGCAAGGTTGTCAGGACACCAATTATATTCAAGTTTTCAAAAAGATATCTGAGTCCTGTCGTTGAATAAAACATAATAGGTGGAACTCATCAAATTATAGTTCATTCTTGACTTTCTCGAGTAACCAGCATGTCCAAATATTTCTTATTCTCAACAACAAAATATGTGAATGTTGGAGACTTCGCAACATTGTGCTGAATGCTGAGAACTGATAAGACCACGCCCACAAGTCGTGCACGGGGTTGTCACGTTCACCGATCCAAATGCCCTCTAGTGTGAATTAATAAAATTATTGTTTACACGAATTTATTATAAGCAATACGCCACAAATCATAAGGGAACATTTTGAGGCAATTGAATTCTGATTACCAATACTCAATTGAGAATTTATGAATTATTGAATAACTAATATTTCTAAGTGATGATTCTATTTTAGAAATAAAAAAAAATATTCCACTCGCCTATTCACAAAGTGATGGATTATTTGGACTTTGTGTGAAATTGAAACGAATTTGGAGAGAAAATATGTTTCACATGGCAGAAAAACAAAATCAATGCCAATCTTGTGCTTCTCTGCCTGGTAATAAAAATGTTTTAGGTAAAGTAAATATGACCAAAGAAGATATGAGACTGAAATGGGGAGTAGGAAGAATGGTATACGAAGCACCTGTAACTCCCATCATTGTACCCATATGGCACATAGGCATGGATGACGTCCTACCCAACACACCGCCCTATGTGCTCAAGTTTGGGAAAAGTCTCACGTTCAACTACGGGCCGCCCCTGGACCTGTCTGATATGGTGAAGAACTTGAGGTCAGCGAAAACAACAGAGGAACAAGCTAGGAAACAAATTACAGACTTCCTGCAAGATACTCTTTTAAAATTGAAAGATCAAACGGAGGCATTACATAGGAAACATTTTAAAGTTAAGTCATGATAGTGGGGGGTGGTAGTATTTTTTTAATTCCTTTTATTCAGTGATAATGATATATGTTCAAAAACACTTATTCGGCTGTCGAGGCCGAAATAAATTATATATTTTTTACAAACGTCAAAAAATGAAGAGGTTCGCGCATTGATAACAATTTGCGAAGTGAAACTTTGTTTCAGTTTCCTACATTACCACGACACAATGTGCGAAGCAGTGCGCGAAGTAAATACTTCGCGCATTGTATGTACACTATATGAGATTTTTGTATTTAATTATATGGTCCTAAATTGTGCAAACATCCAAGAAATCATTAAATTCTTAAGTTTAACAATAATTAAGGTCTTTTAAGCCAGTTCAACACTATTAAGCTAAGCATATATTTCAAAATAAGAACTATATTTTTTGACGTTTGTAGAAATTGGTGATCGAGAACTGATTTTTTAACGAGGCGCAGCCGAGGAAAAAAAATTTAGAGCACTAGATACAAAAATAACTTAATTTTTGTGGATTTTTCATAACAGGCCTTTTATTGAATGACAGATTGATGGGTTGATTTAGGTCCTGAATTTTTTATCATAGTGACATAATCGCAAGTATACTATATCAGAATCAAAACCAGTTTATGAACATCAATCCAGTGTATTATGAAAATATATAGTTGGTTGTGAATCAGAAACCCTCACCAGAGAGTCATCTCTATGGCCAACTTTGATTAAGTACAAAATGAATAAAGGGCTTTCACGCTGGGTTGATAGTGACGTCAATATGTCAACACATACAGTGTTGCCAGTTAAAAGGAAATGACTGAATGACCAACCGCCCGAATATGGATATGTCTAGTGTTACGATCGTCGGACTTTATAATGTTTTTGGAACCAACTCAAAAGCCGTCCATTTATGTTTCAAAATCAGCACTTGAAGTTGATAAATGGACTTCAATATTTGTATTTAATGAACCATGCACCTAAACAATGTACTGAATGAAATTTAATGATAATGAAATTCTTATAAAGAATAATAACTTGAAGAATGATTTATTATATAACAACATGAACAAATAATCACAGATATTGACATTAAAAATAACTTATTTTTCTACCAATACACAATTATGTCTTGAATTAATTTTTGTTTAATAAAACTGATCAGTATTTACATTTACTGAGTGAAAATAATAAAAACTTCGAATTCAATTTTGAGGTTATCTAATCGTTTTGAATGTTTTTCAATTACTATAAATTGGTGAAATGAAATAGAAATTCGATCAATTGATTTTATTTCGTGGGAAAATAAATAGTGGTGCATCTACTTATATTGGAAATTATAAAATACCAAAGAAGGGAAGAGTTGTATTTCGTGCAAGATAATCTATTCTATATTCGTAGCAGAGCGCTTTTGACTGTTAAGTGAAATAGACAACAAGAGTTGTTCTTTCTTCAATATTGTCAATATAAGGAAAACCCACAAAAACTCATGAAACCACTATGTCATCACAATGAACTAACACAAATCATATTTGGATTATTCGGACAACACAAAATATCATTATTAATACCATCATTCACCTTACATCTCTCACAGCAGTCATTGGAATTTTGAATAAATCGAATTTCATCTATGATCCACAAATAAATCACAAACAATTCCTTGAAAGTACAAATTGTCAGTAATGAATAATTCGCAGAGATCAGCTGATCACAACAAATCGCTTCTAGAAATGTCAAAAAAATCTGGCATCGGTGCACAGTTTTGCCAACTTAAATCGATAACGCGGTTCGCCCGAAAGTCACTAGTATTTTTCGATGTGCAGTTTTGGCAGGATATTGTTATCAAGTATTGCGCAACTATCAACCCAGCGTGAAAGCACTTCAGTTCTTCTTAGATGGCGATTATAGTAATTGATAGTAGCTAGTGAATATTTGGTGAAAAGAGAGTATTTAGCTATCTAGCTAGAAATATCTGTATTGAAATAAAAATAACAATATTAGGACAATACTGTGATGCGGAAATTAGTGGAAACTGTATTACAGTATAACACAAGAACAGAACAGAATTCATGAAATTGAATCATCATTTTTGAAACACTTTGAGTGTTTATACAATAGGGACAAAGTTGTCACGGTTTAATTTTATTGTTCAACGAAGAATATCAAATATAAAATCTTGTCTGGAACTTTTGATGTAAGTGCAATATTATATTAGGACCTCACAACCCATATTTCTCATTCAATTCTATATCTACTGTTATAAACAGGAAAGTTCAGTTGTGAAATTCTGCATCAATAAGGTAAATATGGTCCATTGCATGTGATTTTGGATCAATAAGCAATAATGGCATTCAAAGTATTATCATTTCATCAATATGACACTTCGTCATAGTTAATAGAATAAAGAATGCATAAGGCCCACAAACTTTGTGTGTATGAGAATAGTTTTTCTTTGATGGGAAAATGTTATTTTCACTTATTCTATTTTCATTTCTCATCGTATACATGTATTATGAATTTTCATGTGCTTGGGGGAGTTATTTCAAAATTTCACCCATCTGTCATGATTGATAGTTTGGTCCCGACAATGAACTATCAAAAGGGAAAATGACTGCAGCTTTGGTTGATTGATGAATTATGTTATCAAATTATAATTCATGATCATTATTTCCGAATCTCTATCGAGGTGGCACATTTTTCATAACGATTTTTCGTTCAGCTGTTATTTTCTGATTACATTAGTTGCTAACTCCATTTCTGTCTCAATCAAGGTAAATATCTTCTCTACACAACTTTCATTGGTTGACCGTGGTTAGTCCAATTTTCAACACCATCCTTTATAATCGCAATTGAAACAATATACAACAAACTAAAGGCCAAACGGCAAATCTCTCGGTTAATATTATTTCCCACCACAGGGATATATATTCTGTCTACCTTAAGGTTCAGCCCCATTTCCTGCAATGCAACGAAAAATACCTAGATTTTTTTTTTTGAGAATTTGAGCTGTTCCTATTGGAAGTCTACATAGACCTATTTGAACATTTGCCGATGATGAAAGGTAACAAAAAGCATTGTTTTTAGGGAAACAAGTAATTTTCGAGCCTTTGTCAACCACAAACAATGAATTTCCTTCATATCTCTATTGTCAACCACAAACAATGAATTTCCCTCATATTTCTATCGAAAAGAGCAGTTCAGCTAGCATTGAGAGAGAAAATAATGTCTTCCCCATCTGTCCTTGTCTCCAGTGTGCCAACGTGAAATAATGGAAATTTTATGTTGGTAACATTGGAATTGGAAAGAATGAAGAAGAAGATCAGATTAACCTCAATATAGAAACAGTAAGAATGGTTTTCTCCGTTTCTTCTTATTTTCAGTGTTGCCCACATAAAATTCTCCTTATTTTGTGTTGGAACACTGAAGACAATGACAGATGTTACACTTTTCGTCTTTACATTTAGTAAAAACGTACAGGTTGTATGATTATTTTATAAATATTGCGGAATTCGTACATGCATGAACATTGAATATACCTTGAGGCATTTAAGGAGTTTTAGGCATATTTAGATTATTTTCAAGGCCTTTTACCGATTTAGACAATGACATCGTGGGAACTTTAGAAGCTCTTTATTGGTGCATTAGAAGGTTCTCAAAGGCGATAGGTTAACATTTTAAAAGGTACCTAACCGGTCTGGACTTTTTTGAATGCACCTCGTATTAATTATTAATAGGTTTGTTCTCGTTCGAAAAATAAGGAGTCCGAAACCATCAGAAGCATGCGCAGTTTCACAGAACCTTTAGCATGTTTCATGTTCCGTGGAACTGCGCATGCTTCAGATGGTTTCGGACTGTTTATTTTTCGTACGAACAAACCTAATCTCCACAAGCTGCGAAACACATGATCTTTTACAAGTATTGATTCAGAAAAGGTAGTTTGACATTTTGAAAACTGACAATTACTCTCAAAATATTATACGATTGGAGAGAATTTTTATCTTGTTATTCCGAATCAATCAATATCATATCACAGGAGCAATATTTTATACACTTTTTCCAGAAATTAATTCACATCGTTACTTGAAAAAAATTGAGCCCCATCTTTGTCTGTTTGCTGCTTAACTGTCGTTCAGCCAGAAGAAACAGAGAGTACAAAAATAATGTAAAAGTGGTTTAGAGGTAACAAAAAGTTATATCTGAAAATAAACAGTCACAATCAGAAACTGCGTTTAGTAGTTCAGGTTTAAATGAATGCATTACGTAGGTGCTAGCTCCTCCCCCAACTCCTACGTAGCTGCTAGCCTCGAGCGTGACCGTATACTTTGCCTATGTCATGTTTCCAATGAAAGCGAGAACCCGCTAAACACAGAGTAACCAAACGTGTATTTTTTCAATTTTTGAATAAAAAATTCGCTTGAATAGAAATAATGACCAGGTTTACATAAACCAAGAGCCGGCTGCAAACTACCGTCATCTAATAACGAAATGAAATATGTCCCAAAGGCATGTAAAAACATTGTAGTTTATCGAACGGCACTTGTGCCAATCACTATCCTGAGCAAAATGATTGAAAAATTGCACTTTCCTGTGCGGACATTTGCACTCGATTTCGCAATTTGATAACGAGATGAGAATCATGCCATCCGATACCAATTGAATGGTATATTTCAAAACCTCACTTGTGCCATCTATCTATCACCCTCTAAAGATAATATCCGATGGACCAGTGTGAAACTTAACATTTCGACGAGGGCGAAATATTCACGGAAATATTGACGCTCTGCCACTAACGATCAGTTTGAATCGCGGCACGTTTAGATATTCGCAGAAGGGACATGTTTTCCTTTCATTTGCTTTTTATTTCAACTAATCATCACATGACGGAAGTATGCCTGGTATTATAGGAGCAAAATGATTAAAAAAATGCACTTTCCTGTTCGAAAATTCACACTCTATTTCGCGATTTGATAACGAGATACTCTCACTACTACTGGTACTGGTAGGGGA